GAAAATGAAGCAACATCCAGAGATTACGAACTACCGACGGTAAGAAAGATGTAATGTATTAATATTCTCTATCAAATAATCAGAACACTAAATTAGTTTTTAATAAAATAGTGTTAATACTGTTGTAAATTTGTACCATGCAGTATTTGAATATTTATTAATTTTAATTAATTATTTAAATTATTTCCACAATACTTCTAAAAATGACCCGTGATTTTATTATATTTGAAAACAAAGAAATGTGAACGTCTCCAAATTCAACGATTGCTGAGTTGAATAAAATCAGAACACTGAATTATTTTTTGATAAAATAGTGTTAATACTGTTTTAAATTTTTACCACGCAGTATTAGAATATTTATTAATTTCATTTAATTATTTAATTTAATATACGTCTACAAATAAAATACGTCTACAAAATGACCTGTGAGTTGATTATATTTGAAAACAAAGAAATATGAACGTCTCCAAGTTCAACAATTGTTAAGTTAATTAATGTAGTGTAATGGTTTGTGATTGATTTGGTGTTTTGTTTATTGTGATTGTAATTTGCATGTATTTGTATATTTCTAAAGTTTAATATTACCATTTATAGTTTGTGATGCATTCAATTAGGAATTGTTTTGCTTTTGTATTTTTTCATTCCAGAATTTACTTATTAATTTTAATAAAATAAAATATAGGCTATACTTTATCTCCAAGGTATCCGAAGCAGCTCCAAGAAATGAAAAACATCCATCGGTAAGAAATCGTTGCATTTAAAACGTCAAAACAGCAATGTTGTTTTTTTTTAATTATCATAGGCCTATTTTAAATATGACCAGTACAAAGAGTTGACATAAATAATATTGAATGTAAGTGTTAAATCTACCGTGTAGGCTTGTTTCCTTCTAGAAATATAAAAATGTGTATCATTCCAATATCTCAGTAGCTGCGAATGCTTAACTTTATAATTCACTGGATGTAAGCCTAAAGTCGGCCACATAAATCTAGTTTGTACACGCCCATAAAACAATTGTGCTTAACTCATGCGATTTGAACACGGCTACGCTATTGTCACAAAACGTATAGAAATTAATATATTTTCTTTGATATTCTGAATTTTCCAGGCTTATACGGCGTACATAGTTGAGCCGGAGGCAGATAACAAGTATGAAGATCTACAGTGGAATAATGACAACCCAGTTGTCTATGTAAACGTCAAGTGAAAAACTTACAATGTTAATTTCAATGTGATATTGTTCTGAAATCGAGAAAATAATTACAACGTATGGTGTTGCTGATTAATTATACAATGGTATTTTTACTTTTATTCTGCATTTCTCTTTTTAAATACATATTTTGTTCAAATTAACACATCGTAAACTGATGCAATCAATAATTATCATAATAAATGTTGTCAATTTGGTCATAATTGCCTACTGTATTCACGTATTAACATAAGATTCAAATAATGATAACAAATACTCTTATGGGTTTGTAAACAGTTTTTCATTTTGCTATTTGTCGTTCAAGTTCCTTTAGAAACATTTTAAAACACTTATTATGTATGACACACTTAATTATAGAGGTTATGTGATGTATAATGATGTAAATATTATTTCTGAGATTAAATATAGGAATGAGAAACGAGTGCTAAATTATGTATGTTTTAATGGGTAGGACAGGTAATAAGGGACAAGATAACTAAAGACAATACAGTACTCAACACTCTCTGAGACATTCATGTGACGGAAATTTTACAACTTCGGAGGCAATTATAATTCTTGCCAAAGGAAACAATACACATAATATTATGTACATAATAGTCCTACTCTAGGTCAACTTCACGAGCACTAAGCATTAAAATATATCATAGTATGTTATACTTAGGTCTTCATTTCTATGGAAGGTATTATCTATGCAATACCAGTTTAAGTTAGTCACGTAGGCCTATCAAATTAAAATCATAAAACATAATGAACAGAATAACATAAACCGGTAAAACGTTAGTGTATAAGTATTTATTTAATACCAGCCAAAGGTGTGCTATAACTGCATACAAAATTACTAAATCAGGAGCTAAAATATTATTCATTCTAGCAATTTTGTTTAGGGAAAAACATTCCAAAATTATGACTAGTATGGAGTCATATAATTCGACCAATCATAGGGTGGAATGTTTCTTACTGTGTTAAGGTTAAAAAAATTAATTCTGGGACACTACGTATAAAGTTACCAGCTACTTATAATATAATAATTGTGGTCTGTGAGACTCAGCTGTCCCAATTTTTGTCGAAACAGTCCACAGTTGAACAATTGGAAGTATAGAGAGATGCTCTATTCACCAGTACTCGAAAAATACAGGCTCCTAGCGGGGGCATGTGTCAAAATGTACACATTGCAAAACAATAAAGGAATCTCGTGGCCATGACATACAGTAATAGTCAATGAAATGTATATTTTTTTTTGTTTAGGCCGTGCTAATATACAATAACAGGAAAGTGTGATAAGTCAATTTTGTACCTAAAGACAATTCGAACGAATTGTGCACTTTCAATATACTTTTAAACAGGAAGCCAGAACATATTTTAATTTTTAAGCTAGCTGTCAACTGTACACTAATGTACAGTGGCGACTCTAGGATATATTTTCTGGGGGGGGGGGCTAAGTTGTCCGACAGTGGGGACTTGAGTTCGTAGGCTCGAGCTGGAAGAAGGGGTTGAAAGGGGTTCCCCCTCCCAAATGAGATCTTTTTTTAAAGAATATTAATCTCTAGATAGCCGAAAATGGCACTCTCGGACTGTAACAGACATGTTTTGGCTTGGTGTGGGCCTATTTTTATATGTTTTATGGTCTGACTGCCCGACGAGCTCTGTCCGGCGAGGAACTTGACTATCCGGTGGAGGACTTAAGTAGAAATAACAATGGCAGCTGCAATCAGAATAAACGTTTTGGATCTTATCCGTATAAATTTCAACGCTTAATAAATTGACTGCTATCCTATAATACTACATTATTATGAACCAGTATGGTGTCCAAAGTATGAAGATTAACTCAATGACAAGAACACTAAACAGCCTACAATTATGATTTGTATATTAATATAAACCTTGAACTCTCTCATCTAGGTGGTGAGAATTGCCGTTTTGGTTTCTGTTCAAATACCTTAATAGATTACGAAGTCTTAGCATTATTCCAGGTACAATACCATACCGTACACAATACCGTGCGAATAACCTCGGCCGTATTATTTATTTAATTCAATAATATTTAATTTGTATAAAACGAAATTTTTTCAGTGAGAGAACAGATAATGATGTAAAAATATTGTATATACATGGAGGCTTCATGATCAAAAGTTCTTGCCAGGATTTGGTACGTTCTTCCCTGGCACGGCTGGGCTGCTGGGCCGCGGCTTGGTGCCTGGAATGGTAAATAGGCCGTGAAGTAAAAAGTTTGCAGAAAGCTGCTCTAAAACACCGAAAGCAGAAGTCCTATTTACATCGGGCTTCCAAAATTTATGCATAGTAAAAAAAATATTGAACCTCGTCGCCATGACAGCCAATGCAATATATACCGGTATTTCTTTGTTTGTATCGGTCGTGCTATAACAGGAAAAGAGTTAAGAGGGCGTTAAACTCATTTTGTGCCAGAAAATTTTTATTTCAGGCAATTAACTGTAAAACTATGCAGCAATGAGGTAAACGTATTGGTCTGCTGATAGTGTAGGCGCGCCATTGTTTCACCACCAATTATGACTCTGTATAACACTGAAGCAAAACATTGTGGGCACCATTGGAAAATGTACTTGGTCTACCTGATCAACTTGTTTTTGCACTTTGGTAAATATAATGTTTGTGTCTCTGTTAGTTCCCTGCAGACGGGCTAAAGTAAAAATACGGGTCAGTATATTCTGTCTATGTTGAGTTATATAATATAGTTATATAACATAGTAGGCCTATTATGCTTTCAATTTTAGAAACATACAAAAGTCAGTCCGGTGCTTCAATTGCTTACAGTACTTTGTATCTTAAAACCTCATTAGATAACATACAAAATGAGAGAGTTTAAAAGACTTGGAGCAATTGACATTGCGATAAAAAACAATCTGAGATGACAAGATGACGTAATGAATTAATGGCACTTTCTGCTAAGCCCGGCCCCTTGTTGAATATTGTTTCTTTAGGCCCACAAAACCATAGCGTAAATGTACGTAAGCACACGCGCGTTTTGGGACAACACATTAGAAAGTTTGGGCAATTTTGTTTGAAGGACACGCGCGTATTCCTGGTTCCTTGGTCAGTTGTTAAGTGTGCGATAGACACTTCTGAAAGGTCTATTCGATGTGAACGTAGAACAGGGGTGGCGCCAATATTT